CTAAGACCCCAAACCGGTACTCATCTCTCCTCACATCCCTGGGAATGACACTTCTTGGGACCGATTTTGCAATGAGCGCAATCTGATCCCCCACACCAGCTGTGGCATATTGCCCTTGGAACACCCCAATAGCCAGCTTCAGCTCCTGCTTGTCCCTTGCTGGGGCAGTTGGTGCAAATGTGGGTGGTTGGGCAAGATGTGGCGGTGGTGCCCCATACACTTGATTATGCTCATAATTCCCGCGAGTGTGAGAATCGTTCCATCGATAGTCCTTCTGACCACTCCCTCAGTTGTCCTTGCTCCATTCATTACCCCTGCCACCCATATCGTGTACTGACTCTGCGCTGTTACCACGCGGAAACTTCCCACTATGGCCTTCATATCCCATGTCATCCTCCCCCAACCTCTTTCTCTGTGTCCCATACCCCATAACTTCCCTCACACTTTCTGACATCCTTTCCACCTGTGCCTCCTCTTCTTGTCTCTTCTCTTGTGCCACCCTTTCCACCCTGTGCTCAAGGTCTCTGTTCTTGCCCTCCAGCTCTCGATTTTGCCTCTCCAGGACCTCTATTCTTGCCACCAAATCCTTTACTACATCCTCCACCTTTGCTGTATACACCTCCGCTTTTTTCTTCTGCTCATTACACTTACTTTCCGTTTCCTGCCTCAGTCATCCCTGCATATCTTTTAGACTCTCCTTCGTAGCTGCAGTCACACACTGGATCTCGTTCTTCAACTCCGCACGCACTGCTCTGCCATCATCCCTCGCCTCCTTGCTGACAACCTTCACATTGTTCTTCACAATCCCTCGCAAGGCCCTCATCTCCCCCTGTATCCTGCCGCATGTCTCAGCAAAGTCTTCCTTCACTCCCTTAAGTGCCACCGCTAGCCTTCCCTCGATCTCGCTTCCAGTTGGCATCTTCAATGCTACCTTTTCTACATTCTGCACCCTGCCCTTGAGCATCACCAGCTCTGGTCATAGAACCACTTCCCCTGCTTTGTCGCTACCAGACCGGCCACTTTCTGCTCTTGCCACTCACTCCTCTAGCTTGCCCAGATCTTGACGCAGCATTGACGTTTTGTCCCGGAACGCATTCCGCATCTCCATCTGCTGTCCCCCAACAGCGATAGCCATTTTCTTCAACTTGCTGGCAACCTGGACAACCTTCGCGACTGAAGTCATGTTGAGATCAATACCAAACTCCTTCTCCATGCACGCTTCCATCGTCATATTACCTAGTGAGTCCACAGTAACCTCCAGCCCCTCCGACATAGGAGAGAGAAGCAGAGAGGTGGTTAAGGGTTCATCTCCTGAGTCTTCATGGTCAATCGTTGCTGCTGATCTTGTTGAGGCAAGCGGCCTGGCTGCCAGAGAGGCGGTCGATCCACGAGTCCGCGGTTTTTGCTTCATGTCCAACGGGCCCTTCTCCCCCCCTACTTCTGACTTCCGCGCTGGTTTTGCCTGCACCCCCGCCTTTTTCTTCATCTTTTTTGGCGACTCCACCAGTCCCTCCATTGTCAGCAGACCCGGTCAAGCTCTCACCATCCCTTCGGCTGTCTTCAACACTCAGGCCCGTGTCTTGTTCATGACCACCATCCATCACCAGGCCCTCTCTTACTGTCTTTGTCTCGGGTGTAGCCCTCCTAGCATCAGTCTCCTCGCTTCCAGCCAGACCTTGTCAATCTTCTGATCCTCGGTCCTCACCAACAGTCCACTCCATCTGCAGGGTACCATTCGCAGGGCAGTCCAAGCCTTCAGTCGACAGTGCTCCTTGTTTCTGACTCACTGATGCAGAGAGGTTGTGCTCGTTTGTCTCTGGTGGCAATGGCATGCTTGCTTTTTGATACAAATCTCATTTACACTTTTTTTGCTCAATATGTGATAATGTTTCCTTGATTCGGCACTACGTTACCCACTATCGCGGTGTTTCTTCTTTTTTTCCTCCCAGCGTTCAGCTGTTTAGCGTGGGAAAAACACGAGATGATGGTGGTATAGTCTAGTATTAAGTATTGGTAACCATCAGCAAAATTGCCTCGAAAATTGCATCGAAAATTGCACCTCTGAAAAGGCCTTTCCCCTAGTTTCCCCTTCATTTCTACATATTGGCACCAGCTTTAAAAAGGTCGAATCCCTCTTAGAGTTCGATGCATGATGGGAGGAGGATGAAATTGAGATTAATGGTGATGCATGTGAATTTCAAAGTTCATTAAAATTGAACATGAACATATATAGAATCTTCTTTGATTCATTCCAAATCCTTCTTTGCGAAGATTACATGTGATGTTCTCAGCCCGTACATTTCTGTAAATACTGCCTGTATGCTACCATAGTTCCTCAGTTTAATTATCAACTTAGATCTCCCATCAACTTAGATTCCCTTTCCAACTTAGTTCTCCTCTAAGTCTTCAGGCTCATCGCCCTGAAGTATTCTCTATTCTTACCTTAAGACTTTTAAGTGCTTTGGTTCGCTCCTCATCACCAGCGATACTGCCGCTCCGATGCAGTGTTGTTAATAACTTCACCACTGTCCCATTCAATCTTCTGCCCTTAGACACCTTGTGGCCTCTGGCACGGTTACATGGTGTACATGATCTTAACAATTTCCTCGACATCAGCATCAACCTGGACTGCTCTGGACTGATCTTCTATTCTATTCAATGATGACCCAGCCAGAGGAATCTTCAAGAGACTTCAAGGTCTCATCATGGGCGGTGGCGCTCGATGGAGTCGTTTGAACTGCATTCATGCGGCCAAACTCTATCAAAATGTAATGACAATGCAGTCTACAGAGACCGCAACAGGACTTCCCTATTCGCAATAAGTAAGTTATTTCGAGATATACATACATTCAATTGTTGCATGTCAGGATGTCACAGCTTTGTCCAAGTACAACCATCTGATTCTTCCTGGAGTATTGTGCTTTCCTTCAAGTTCTCTTTCTCATTTTGCTTCATTATGTCATTTGTTATTCGTGTTTCCCTTCAACCCTTTTGGTCCTTTACCCCTCTTCCTTTGCCTTTCTTGATACACAAATCCAAGTACATTGAGTGAGGCCCCCGGAAGCTCCCCCAGAACCCTGTCCAGAATTGCATATTTTAAAGGCCAAAATCAGCCATTTCCTTGTCCAAATATAGCGTAGATTGAAGCTCAATAGGTCAGTCCTTGTCCGGTATAGCGTAGTTTGGAAGCACCAAAAGCAAAATTGAAAATAATATTTTTTGAGTACTTTGCACTGCCATTTTTGGAAATTTCAGGGGATTTTTCTGGATTTCACGTTAACGAGCTTGCCTCGTTTTTGTGTGAAAGAGAAAGGAAGGAATCTAATGTGCACTCCAACCAACCAATCTAATACACAATATGCGAGTTCACTGCTATCAAATTTATTTAATAGCAAGGGGTAGCGTTGGCAAAGGTTCCGCAAAGCTTTGAGAGCTAAGTAAGAAGCTTTGATCAATCAATTTGAATTGTTCTAAGGATCCGGTATATTCCTTTGATTAAGGTAGATTCAGCACGATTTGTGCTTTGATTGTATTGATATAGGTATATCAAGAATTGGGGGTTTGAATCAAAGTAAATTAAAACCGAAACACACAGACCCCTACAGAGGACTAGAACTATGTGCTGGCACAACCACACAGCGTGATTTGCTCTTAAGACCAACGACTGATCCTAAGTTCGAAGAATACCCAACAACTGGATATACTTCTCGCAGTCACAAGGAGCAGAACACGACGTTCCTATACTCACAAGTGCCGGGCCCGAATGGCTGCTAGTGAAGAGGTTTCAGTCTGGCAGAAGTGTGTCTTTCCTTTTTATGGATTAGCACTGCAACGTCGTCCCAAAATCACTTGTATTCCAGATACATCAGATCGCTATTTATACATACAGAATATAGAGTCGCACAGTACAATTAATTTAATACAATAAACGTTCGGAACCGCAAGGAAACTTCTACAATCGGTCAGATATCATTTAATTTGATTCTACATGTCCTTATTTGGTCCATAATGGTTCCAAGATTCTAGTATACCTCCAAACATAGGTACATAATGGTTCCAAGATTCTAGTATACCTCCAAACATAGGTAGGCACTTCAATGTTCATTTAATTTAATTGTTTTGGAGAATGACTCGAATGGTGTTCAGCTGTCAACACTTACTTCAATCGTTTGTCACCTCGTCCGGAGGCAAATCAGCTCTCCTCGATTCTAATCCTATCAATCTGATTCATCTGGATTAAACTAATTAGTTCTCTCTTTCAATAGACACCCATTGTGCCTATACTCTATCAAGGGAGTTATACATAGTATTCATTTAATTGTGTTCTTCAATATTTTCTATGTCAGGACTCTTTGACATTCATTTGATATGTCTTCGGAGCCTCGCAGTACTTCAATTGTTCTTCTAGTCATTTTCTTCAACCATGCAACCTGATTGGTCTATTAGACTAAATTGCAGTCTTTTAGATTAATGCATGATCTCGTTCTAGAAGGAGTATTTGATGATTCCTGAGTTCTAGAAAGTCATTTCGAGTCAATCCTCGGCTCATGGTTACTTGAGTAAGTTCTTCCAAACTCCTGCCAGTGTAAGGTCCAATAAGAATACCCTTGGTATGTCATACGTGAATGGTCATCCTTCGGATGTAGTCCGAGTCTGGTATAATCCTGCTCGACAAACAGGTAGACTGCTATCCGAAGGTAGTATCGGGGATGGGTAAACTAACCAACTTGTGGTAGTATGGGTATATGGTCCCTTCAACTTATTAGACTGATTCAGTATTGACTTTGACTGTCAATCTGGGTCTCAATTACAGTCCTCTCAATACGAATCTATACGTGAAAATGTCACAATTCACAGTATAGACATCTAGCCAAAATTTAGGCGTGTCAACGTGATCAACCTTGTCCGTTATAGCGTATTTTAGGCTGAAAACATTGCATAGTTTACAGTGTTTGCCCGGACAGGGTTCTGGTAGAGCTTCCAGGGGCCTATTGAGTGTGATGACACGGAATAGCGCTGAGGAGCAGGCACATGCTATAGTCTTATTGTATAACAGTGGCCATGTTATCGCTGTGATCTCACAGACATTCGTATATGGTGAGTGTTGTCATGTTCAAACTACAACCACAAATAAATTCTGACGATGGCATGTCTTGGACAGGAATATACACTGTTTTGATTCCTGTTTCTTCTTATGTCATGCTGTAAGCTCCATCTAACTACTGCTAGATCATCAATCTTTGTTACATGTGCCTATAGCCGCAGGGGACTCGCTACAAGGGCGCAGAAGATCTTATTTGGGATGACCATATTCATGTTTGCATTATTGACAACACACTGGATCGCATCAATAGCGACATTGATTAGGCTCATTCATGTTGCGCAGTCACTGAATCATGGTGTGATTTCTGTCTAATGCGATGCAGTATGTCCTCACAGATGGAGTAGTCGTTTGGCATGCATAGGTGTTATGTTCAGTTGATGGCACGAAGACTTTGAAGATGTGTCTCTTTATGCTCAGTCTCATTGTGGGTGCGTACAATTAATACAAGTAGTTTTCTTTTCAAACTTGAAGTTTAAATGACTCCTTCTATTGATGTTGTTGCTCATTCTATTATATGCAGTCTCTGTCATAGCCACAATTGCTAGTCATATCACACTCATGGTCATTGACACAAAGGAGACCGGAGAGCTGGGGAGTCAGTTGAACCACGGTATCAATGTTACACAGGTGGCAATACTGGTATTGTCCCTTCTCACAAACTTGCTGGCAACATTTTTTATTTCCTTGAAGGCTTGGTCAGTTTTCTTTTCTCTGCCTGTCTTCACATTGTTTGGACTGCCGCTTATTTTGTTTATCAGGAGAAGCTGAATTGAGATACGGAACAACTTGAATACAGCTGTTAACGGATGTTCACGGGCAGGAAAAATATTTGTTCTCCTCATCGAGACGGGAGCTTTGTACTCGGTGTCTTGTGTGCGTTGCTACCCTTCATTCAATGTGTGTTTTTCTAATCATCAGTGAACAGCTCATGTGTCTTTGCTTATACCATTGAAAGATCTAGATGGGACAGTGGGCTGTCGGCACTCAGCTTGCAGTAAGTGACTCCAACCAGGCCAGTCCATCTACTGATAAATTTTTCAGGGAATTTACCCAGTTGTTGTCCTCCTTATCTCCCCAGACTACATTCTTGATAGAACAGTCCGAGCCTTTGCTTCTGGGGTAGAAATACAGACTGGATTTCATTTTAGTGGGCAACTGGATACAATATGTTTCTATCATCAATCCATAGCAGATTTTGTTGCAGGTGACATGGAGGAAAATCGGTCCCGCGATGGTGGTACTACGGGATATTGGAATGGTCATCAAAGGTTTTGGGGAATTGAGTGTCCTGAGTGTATGATATTTATTATTTGTATGTCCGCAAAGAAGGTTCGCAGAATGAAATTTTGTTCAGGTTTGGGATCCAAAGGGAAAATGATTTACATCTGAAAGGATGTAAACACCTGGTCAGATGAGTTTGGGTAACTTACAGCCAAAATAGTTTCTCCTGCGAGTAAAATTTAGAATGGGTGATGCTTTCGCAAGTTACTTAGGTACCACCTAATCAAGTAGCTTCGAAAAAAATACTAGTAATCCCAAACGATGGTTCGACCCGGTCTCGAACCGGGGACCTCCTGTGCACATATAAATGTGAGACAGACGTGATAACCACTACACCACCGAACCATATACATGTGAAGCTATGAACTGATGGAATGGATTCGAATTTGGTTAACATGCAGTCGCATTGAGTGTGGCCTATTGCAGGTCCCTCTTAGCTATAGTATGTACGATCTACCCATTGTACCGAGGTGTGATAGCACTAACTACTCAGCTAACACCTCGAAGCGACGAAGCGAGTACTCCATGTTTGATTGGAGGGCCAAAAGGCCCCCTCCGAGCCGGACGAAGGAGGCTCATATATGGAGGCGTGAAACCTAATCGGGATGTGGCTGTGACATCGTGGGATCATGAAATTAACAACTCACGTTGAATTGCTTCGCTTTGCTCGCAATAATAATAGGTGCTGGGTTATTCTGTTCAGAAATCACTGTCTCCGTAACTGCTTCGTTCCCTGCATTTGAAGGATCAAATATTCAAGCATAGTGAGGTTCTCTGGCGGAATTCGCCACTTGGCACGCATATAGTGCAGGGCGCAAAGTGGACAAGCTGGCAGCATCCTCGACCATGTCTTCATCTACAAAGTCCTTGAAATCATCATCGTCGTCTCCCTCCTCCAAGTCATCTCCGATGTCTTGGGCTTCTTTCAGAAACTCCATGGCGCTATGTGTTGCTCTTCGCGTCTTGCTAGCGTTTGGATTGGAGTTCTATTTATCTGCTTCGGCAACGTCGTTTCAACAGCCTGCTCACTTCAGTAACTTAACAAGCGACAACGTATACTATTCTTCCCCTTCACCTAGTGGTGGAACGAACTCAGTGGTTGAGCTCATAACCACTGGACCAGGACTGCTCAGTGCCTCATCGCCTTTGACATCGTATGCGAATCTGAAGGAAGGAATGTGGTTGTATAGACGTGGTGTGGATGTATATGCAGACGGAGGGCGAAGGGTTGGTGTGGTGAGTTGAATTCCGTTCGTTCATTCCTGTTTCTTGAGAGAAGTAGTTGTTAATTGGATACCTTTTTTTTCTCTTTACGATTCTTTCTACGCGTCACGTAAAAAGTCACCGCTGTATCTCTCCTTTTCATTCCTCCATTCTTCTCTCCCAGTCCTTTCAACCACGGAATCATCCCCCCTACCCAATCTACACAGATTCCTCTCAACGCTCCTCGAAATCATCCTTTGGATAACTCCCGACGCGCTGTCAGCGTGGTTTTTGGTGAGAATATGGAGGGCCAGGACGAGGACGGGTATGTTGTCAGTGTCATCCTCGTCGTCTACATCTACGGCTTCGGCATCCTCGTCACGAGACATCCTCCTTCCCTCTCTTCTCCCAGCACTCTACCTCCTCTCCCCATTCCATATCCTCCCCTCTCTTGCGCGTTCTACGAGCGCTTGGGAAAACGCGGTGCTGTTAGGTGCCGTGGCGTGGGGATGTGAATGTGCCAGTTCAGCAGACGTAGCACCAAAGCTGGACGGAGGGCAAGACAGTGACTCCTCTTCATCGAAAGCTTCCTCACCCACTCGCTCCTCCACCTCAGATCACCCCTCTACCTCTTCCGCACAATCAAAATCCCTCCTCCTTCTTGCGCTTCGTATTCATCTCTCTCTTGATGCTATTATCCTCCTACCCCCGCTGGTTATGCTGATTCTTGCTGGCCCGGGGAGTAGGTTAATGGAGCCAGGAGCGTTTGTTCTGGCGACGCCATCCTCGGGGAAGCAACAGGACGTCCAGGTAGAGGGAGAATCCAAGGCAGAAATAAACTCGAATGCAGAGACGGTGTCCGGGTCAGAATCCAAGTCGAAATCCAATGACGAGACACAGGCAGAGTCCAAGTCGTCTCTACGTCCCCAGTCTCATCCAATCCTTCGCGCAGTCTTCCCGGTTATACTAGAGTTCTTCGTATACTTTGCCGCACTTAGCCTCGTATCAACGTTGATTGTAGGTCATTGGGGATGGATGGGTAGTACTTGGGGTGCGAGGTAAGTCTCCGCATCAAATCACTTGTTGGGGACCTCGGCTGAATTCTTCGTATTCAGCCTTTCTCTCCCATCTCTCACACCAAATCCAGGTCTCTGGTGGTATTTCTTCACAGAAATGTTCGATCATTTTAGAGCGTTTTTCTTGGTCGTGTTCGAGGTGAGCTATCGGAATGTGTTCTGTTATTTCGTCCCTTTCTTTGGAGTCTTATGGTTATTGGTGGTTCATGTGCTATTTGGGTTATCCGAATGTTGTTTCTTCGTTAGCATGTCGTCCGTGTGTGTGTACGTATGCAAGACACATTTCTCTTGCCTTCGTTTCTTCGTGTCTTCGGTTCGGATTCGGGTCTTGGTGGATCAAATCTTGTCTTTCTTCTGTTTCACCTTTTGTTTATGTTTTCATTCTTTCTCATTACGCTCGATTCGTTCATTCGTTATCCTTGATACAACTCCTACAAACCATCCATTCACTCGCTCCTCTGTGTTTCTCGATTTCTCTTCTTTGTTGTGTTTGTTAACATTCGTTCTTGGTTCACCGTGACGTTTCTTTTCGTCCCGCTTGGACTTTCGTTATCCGACCTTTCTTTCCTATGTTTTTTGAACCTCACTAATCACTTACAAATAGGTCCACTTATTGATGTACGTCGCACCGATATGCATTAAATTTCAGTGCGTTTTCTTTTTGCTCCCCCTACTCCTTCCTATCTCTCCTGTACGCATTACTTACCTCTCTTTCAACACAGACACGATCCTCTCTATGCTCTCTTCCTTCTTACTGGAATCCTCGCAACCTTCAAGCCCTACCCGACCCTCTCAGATCAGGGTCTGTTCCTCGTGATGTGGGGTATTTTTGGGGAGGTGTATCCATGTAAGTGGGTGTTCTTTGTTTTTGTTCAGTCTTTTTGTTCTTTCTTCTATTGGTTTGTGTGTACTGACTTTCTTTTTTAATATTTTACACAAACAATTGAATAACTAAATAAATTTGTGGTTCATGCTAACAATTTCTATATTTCTTCTAGTCCTCCGCACTCCCCTCCCAGCCCTTCTCACCCTCCTCCATTCCACTCTTCTCCAACCACTTTTTGCGCATTTGTGGCTCACCCATGGACGCGGGAATGCAAATTTCTATTACGCAACGACATTGGTGGGTGCATGTGCTGGGGGGATGGGTGTTGTAGATGCGGTTTGGGGAGGGTTGAGGTGTGCTCTGGAAAAGGGGGAAAATGGAAAATATAGTGACACAGGAAGTGTTGATGAGGAATGGGAAGAGAGTGAGGTGGTTACACAACAATAAAGATGTAAGAGGATCTTGTTATTGGTTTCTATTTCCAGTGTATGTAGGTTTGCTGGTTTGTCCAGGGACAGAGACAATGGATATATAACATGCTTAGATTACAGACTTTGGATTGACCAACAATACATCCACATAAGTACAAGGTATATTAACTACCTACACTCCATCACAGGTTACGCGTGCCTTGCTGCAGTTCTATGTTGCTTCAATTTCTCTGCTAACCCTTTCATTTTCTTCACTGTCTCGTTCTGGGAATACAAGACCGTTGCATGGCCACCCGCCGTACTTGGAAGCGCTGCGAGGTAATCCAAAACCGCAATAATGTAATCCGCATCATTGTCGACGGATTTCATTTCCCATGGACGACCGCGAGAGGAACGGCGAAGTTGATTGACATCCCTTAACACCTCGAAAACGCTCTCCGGATCCTTGTTTCCAAAGAACGCTATTACATCGTCCTTTTTGAGCATGGCATTCTTTTGATCCCCTGAGCGAGTCATATATGCAAAGAATTTTTCATCTTTGTCATTGTGGTCTGTGGAGTTAAGGAACATTGGCAAGATTGGCTTGAGCTTTCCATTGGGATCGGGGCGCAAGAACCTGAATATTTCTTTGCCAATGAGCAGGCCTAGTTGATGATTGTTCTCCAGTGGGAGGTTGGCAGGGGACACTGGATTATAAGAGTCTCCTATGAATCGCATGATACGAACCACCAACTCATGCTCTGGGGTTGGTAAGAAAATAGAAAGTCAGGACTTGGAGGAATGCGAACTCGATTCAGTTATGTCTTACCTACGTCAACGTTGATCAAGTTTGAGATCGTTGGTTGCGTGTGTTTCGGACTTGGTGCAGCGGAACTGGACACCAGGAAGAGAACAGCCATCAGTAATATATGCATAGAGCATCGTCGAAGGAGGGAAGATATGAAGAGCATCGTCTTTTCTTGACAGTAACGAGTTAATAGTGAACCGGTACTGGTCGTATGGAAGCAAGGACAGGTTAAAGTTAGTGTTAGTTAAGTGACCGAAGACATACAACTTTGTGTGTGTAGTGAAGATTACTTCGACCAGCAAATTTGTCCAGGTCAATGACGACTTTGAGGTCTTAAGATAAGGTTAACTAAGTCCAAATAATGCAAACAAATCCATCAGTTCACTCAAATCACATACTATTCCAAACCTACCGTACCAGCGTCAACGAGGAAAAAGATTGGGAGAATAACGAAGAATGTGCCCTCTATATAATCAGCGTCTACTGATCCAAGATTCAAGTCAAATTTTTCGCTTATGCACCAGACCTGTGACCTAGCCGAACATCAAAACCTTCACTATATACGGGTAATCTCGAGGGAACGGTGCACTTCATCTGCAAAACCTGGATATTCGGCTAAGGGTCCAAAAGCAGTTGAAAGCATTTCCCAGCAGTGAAAGCACTCAGAGCAGCCTGCTCTCAGTGCTTTTGGTACTGGGATCTGCTGGGATCTGCTCTCAGCCCTTAGCCGAATATCCATGTTTTGCAGATGTTGTAAAGTTGTAAAGTGATAAATGTGTCCCAATGTGCTATTGGAGGCAAACACTGGGTTGCATGACTCTCAAAAATTGGGTGATTTACAATACCTCATTACTTGAATCTGTGTGTTAGTGTAAGTTTAACTCAGTTGATATCGGAACAACTGATATTGTGTAAGTACCTGTTAGTGTAAGTTTAACTACGGTGTAATTAGCATATGAATGACTGAATGTACTTTGAGCTCACCTCAGTTGATATCGGAACAACTGAGGGAGCTCGTGTGTTTCTGTTGTGCGTGGTATGGTAGGTACTGTATAGTTCTAGGGTAAGCACGGCGTATACGTGTATGGTATCGTCGGTGTAGTAAAAGGTTGAGTTTTGTACGTACGTACGGAGTTGCTCCAACACTGTGCAGATGGTGCACCACCTTATCAGCCAATAACGAAGTAGCGCCGGTGAACGGCAGGGCCCACTACCAGTTAATGGGTGTCTGTGTGAGCACTAAGTACAAGGTGGATTGAACGCTGACGCAGGATGAGTAGTAAGAGGTAGTGTTTGTAGAGGTCTGTACTACAATGGGACCACACCTTGATTGGTGATGGCTAATATACTTGTATTGTAGATAGAAAAAGCGGCGCGCGTAGGGCGCGCCGCATGTAGCTGCAGCTGCCCAACCTGTAGTAGCAGCTAGTAGCAGTAGTAGTAAGTACCTCACCAACCCGAAAAGCGAATGACCAAAAGGAGATATATGACTAAAAACCGATGACAAGGGATGGCTAATTTCGAAAAAACTGGGTCTACTAAACCCTTCAACCTCTAAAGAGGTAGCAGGAATTAATATCTCCAAGCGAAGGAAGGGAAACGAAACCGACGGAGGATAAAATAGATGATAGAAGTGACTTTTAGTGATATTACAGTGAACTTATAATTTCCAAAAACTTTCAAAAGTTTACAATAAGTTTTGACTCTTACATGGAATTTATGTAAGGGCATATATTTTTTTTGCATCCTATAAGATTGCTGTAAGTAGCAATACTTACAGTCAACTTTTTGAATATTTTTAGCAAAAGATATAGTAAATTTCCCATAAATATTTAGCTTAAAAAACTAACATCAAGTTTGCTATAAATATATTGTAAGTTTGCAGACTGACAAGTAATGATATTTGCCTATTGGCTTTGCACAAGTTTAATAATTTCAGGTCAACTTTCTATGAACTTTCAATCAAAATAATGATAAACTTATGGTTAAATTACAGGATTACTTGTAACACTATGTTGTAAGGAAAATCAAGGACTTTCAATAAACTTTCAATACAACTTGGCACTTGAAAGATTTGTTTGAAGTTCACCATAAGAATTCTGCAATATATAATCTGCAAATCTAGTGACTTTGAGGAATATAATGGGAACTTATGATTTCCAAAAGACTTTTGAATGTTTACAATAAGTTTTTTCTTTTACATGAAACTTGCATAAGAATATATATATTTTTTTTGCATATCAATAGATTGCTGTAAGTAGCATTATTTACACTCAACTTCCTGAATGTTTTCAAATCAAGATAAAGTAAATTTCTTATCCAAAAAACTAACATCAAGTTTGCCATAAATATACTGTAAGTTTGCAGACTGACAAGTAATGATATGGGCCCATTGGCTTTGCACAAGCTTGATAATTTCAAGTCAACTTTCTAGTGAATTTCATTTAAGATAATGATGAACTTATGGTTAAATTACAGGACTAATTGTGACACTATGTTGTAAGGAAAATGAAAAACTTTCAATGAACTTACAAGACAACTTCTTACTTAAAAGATTTGTTTGAAGTTCACCCCAAGCCAGAAAATTTCAGGTCAACTTTTTATGGAATTTCAATTTCAATAGTGATAAACTTATGGTTAAATTACAGGACTAATTGTGACACTATGTTGTAAGGGAAATGAAAAACTTTCAATGAACTTACAAGACAACTATTGGCTCATAAGATTTAGTTGAAGTTCACCATAAGTCTAATAATTTTAGGACAACTTTCTATGAAGTTTCGATGTAAGTAGTGATAAACTTGTGGTTAAATTGCATGGCAACTTGTAACACTATGTTGGAAGGAAAATCATGGACTTTCAGGGAACTTTTGATATAACTTGTCACTTCAAAGATTGGTTTGAAGTTCATGATAAGTTTTCTGCAATATATAACCAAAAATGTGGTAATTTTGAGGAATATTATGGGGGACTTATGATCTCCAAAAACCTTGAGAAGTTTACAATAAGTTTTGACTCATATATTGAATTTAGACAAGAGTATATTTGTTTGCATGCATCATATAAAATTGCTGGAAGTAGGATTACTTACAATTAAATTTTCAATATTTTTGGAAAGAGATATAGTAATTTCCCCATAAACATTGAGCCTAAAAAACTAACATCAAATTTGCTATAAATATACTGTAAGTTTGCAGAGTGACAAGTAATGTTATCTACCTATCAAATGTGCATAGCTTTCATAATTTCAGGTCAACTGGCTACGAAATCTCACACAAAAGAAAGGGACTAGATTGACTGGACAAACAGGATAGATAGACTGGATCAACCAGACAGATGGGACAGATGGACTAGAGTGAATTGGACAGATGGGATAGATAGACTGGATTGACTGGACAGACAGGATAGATAGATTAAAACAATTGGACAGACAGAATAGATAGAGTGGATATAGTGGATAGACATGATCCACTCTATCTATTCTGTCTGTCCAATTGTTTTAATCTATCTATCCTGTCTGTCCAGTCAATCCAGTCTATCTATCCTGTCTGTCCAATTGATCTATTCTATCTATTCCACCTGTCCAATCAATCCAGTCTATCCAGTCGATCCACTCTATTTATCCTGTCTGTCAATCAATCCTGTCTATCCAGTCTGTCCAGCCAATTCACTCTATCTATCCTGTCTGTCTAATTGATCCTGTCCATCCACTCTATCCACTATATCCACTCTATCTATCCTGTCTGTCCAATTGTTTTAATCTATCTATCCTGTCTGTCCAGTCAATCCAGTCTATCTATCCCATCTGTCCAATTCACTCTAGTCCATCTGTCCCATCTGTCTGGTTGATCCAGTCTATCTATCCTGTTTGTCCAGTCAATCTAGTCCCTTTCTTTTGTGTGAGATTTCGTAGCCAGTTGACCTGAAATTATGAAAGCTATGCACATTTGATAGGTAGATAACATTACTTGTCACTCTGCAAACTTACAGTATATTTATAGCAAATTTGATGTTAGTTTTTTAGGCTCAATGTTTATGGGGAAATTACTATATCTCTTTCCAAAAATATTGAAAATTTAATTGTAAGTAATCCTACTTCCAGCAATTTTATATGATGCATGCAAACAAATATACTCTTGTCTAAATTCAATATATGAGTCAAAACTTATTGTAAACTTCTCAAGGTTTTTGGAGATCATAAGTCCCCCATAATATTCCTCAAAATTACCACATTTTTGGTTATATATTGCAGAAAACTTATCATGAACTTCAAACCAATCTTTGAAGTGACAAGTTATATCAAAAGTTCCCTGAAAGTCCATGATTTTCCTTCCAACATAGTGTTACAAGTTGCCATGCAATTTAACCACAAGTTTATCACTACTTACATCGAAACTTCATAGAAAGTTGTCCTAAAATTATTAGACTTATGGTGAACTTCAACTAAATCTTATGAGCCAATAGTTGTCTTGTAAGTTCATTGAAAGTTTTTCATTTCCCTTACAACATAGTGTCACAATTAGTCCTGTAATTTAACCATAAGTTTATCACTATTGAAATTGAAATTCCATAAAAAGTTGACCTGAAATTTTCTGGCTTGGGGTGAACTTCAAACAAATCTTTTAAGTAAGAAGTTGTCTTGTAAGTTCATTGAAAGTTTTTCATTTTCCTTACAACATAGTGTCACAATTAGTCCTGTAATTTAACCATAAGTTCATCATTATCTTAAATGAAATTCACTAGAAAGTTGACTTGAAATTATCAAGCTTGTGCAAAGCCAATGGGCCCATATCATTACTTGTCAGTCTGCAAACTTACAGTATATTTATGGCAAACTTGATGTTAGTTTTTTGGATAAGAAATTTACTTTATCTTGATTTGAAAACATTCAGGAAGTTGAGTGTAAATAATGCTACTTACAGCAATCTATTGATATGCAAAAAAAATATATATATTCTTATGCAAGTTTCATGTAAAAGAAAAAACTTATTGTAAACATTCAAAAGTCTTTTGGAAATCATAAGTTCCCATTATATTCCTCAAAGTCACTAGATTTGCAGATTATATATTGCAGAATTCTTATGGTGAACTTCAAACAAATCTTTCAAGTGCCAAGTTGTATTGAAAGTTTATTGAAAGTCCTTGATTTTCCTTACAACATAGTGTTACAAGTAATCCTGTAATTTAACCATAAGTTTATCATTATTTTGATTGAAAGTTCATAGAAAGTTGACCTGAAATTATTAAACTTGTGCAAAGCCAATAGGCAAATATCATTACTTGTCAGTCTGTGTCAAGTCCATGCCTCGGGCCTCCATTCCGCCGCTCAGTACTCCAAAGATCTGCCCTTTATTGTCCTTTCTCGCTACACATACCCTTTCGTTCTAGTCCCTTCTTATTGTCTTTTACTTTACCCTGCAGGTACTACTCGTATAGCTCCTAGTAGTTAGTCTGGCGCTCCGCACCGATGTGCCGATCCGTAGATATAAATAC